CTTTAAATGTATACTTCTGCTTCTGGGCTGTACTCTATTTCAGTTATCCATTTGTCTATTCCTGTGCCAATATCACAGTGTCTTTTTACATTAGCTTTATAATACAGCAATAATCGATAGTGCAAATCCTCCTTTTTCAAGAACACCTTGACTGTATTTGGCTCTTTGCATTTCTGAATAACTTGTAAATCAGCTCATCAAAGTCAACAAAAAATATATTGGAATTCTGACTGGTAGAGCATTGAATCTATAAATCTTTTTAACATCAAGTCTTCAGTCAATGAACGTGGAATATCTCTCCACTCAGATTTTCCTAGACATGTCTCAGGAATGTTTTAATAATTTTCCCATAGCTGTCATATATATCTTTTGTTGGATTTATTCTGAGGAATGTCATGCTTTTAATGCTATTCTAAATAGCCTCCTTTTAAAATTTCATTTTCTATTTGATGCTAAAGTATAAAATTTATCATTCTGAATTTTAATATTAATGTTTACATCTAGTAACATTGTAAATTTTATTATTGCAAATACTGTATCCATAAACTTTAAAAATTTTTCTAGATATACGATGTAATCGACTTTTAAAAACACTTATTTCTTTTTTTTTTTTTTTTCCACGTTTTCCAATGCTTATACTTATTACTACTTTTCTTTTTATGTACTGTGCTGGATAGTATCCCTGGTACAACACTGACTATGTCACTAGTTTTCATTGATTCTATGCTAGTCTTTTTTATGCTGAAAACTTCCTAAAACAAAGAGTATGTATATTTACTAATCTCTGTATCGACAAAAGCCCTGTTAAAACTCAACAAATATTTGTTGAAAGAGTAAAGCTATTAATTAATTTTAATTTTAAATGTTTTGCATGACAAGAATAACATTGTAAAGAAATCTGATGATTCAGCTAGGAATATGTTCCACTGAAAGAAACAGAAAACCTAACAAAAGTGGCTCACACAATATGGATGTTGTTTATTATATCATTCAACAAGAAAATGAAAGGTAAGTATCTGTTGGCATTGGTTCAGCAGCAGAAGGATGGTAGGCCAGATAGATCTCCTATGTTTATGGCCTTTCCATTATGGTCACAAGATGACTGCTGCAGCTCTGGGCATGACATCCTAGTGTAATAAAAGCAGGAAGAAACAGAGAAGGGGCAGCTAAGTCTGTCTTTTTGTGAGAAAGGCAGATACTTTTCTAGATGTAACCAAATTGCTTCACCTTAGTTTTCATTGACAGAAACTAGCTGATATAGCTCTCTCAGGGAGCAATTAAGTGTGGGAGCAAAACACATGACCGTTGAAATTAATTTCAACTTATCACCTGAGACAGGTCTCACTGCTGCTTCATGGTGGTACTCTTATCAAGATAGACAGGCTAGCAGATGTAAGTGCTCACCACATGTGATACACAGTTTTTCCTACTGCTTTCTTAATTTCATCCTTAGAGAATACAATTAGAAATAAGCTGCTATTGTGTGTAGAGGGAAATTTATAGCACTAAATGCCCACAAGAGAAAGCTGGAAAGATCTAAAATTGACACCCTAACATCACAATTAAAAGAACTAGAGAAGCAAGAGCAAACACATTCAAAAGCTAGCAGAAGGCAACAAATAACTAAGATCAGAGCAGAACTGAAGGAGATAGAGACACAAAAAAACCCTCCAAAAAATCAATGAATCCAGGAGCTGGTTTTTTGAAAAGATCAACAAAATGGATAGACCGCTAGCAAGACTAATAAAGAAGAAAAGAGAGAAGAATCAAATAGACGCAATGAAAAATGATAAAGGGAATATCACCACCGACCCCACAGAAATACAAACTATCATCAGAGAATACTATAAACACCTCTACGCAAATAAACTAGAAAACCTAGAAGAAATGGATAATTTCCTGGACACTTACACTCTCCCAAGACTTAAACCAGGAAGAAGTTGAATCCTGGAATAGACCAATTGCAGGCTTGGAAATTGAGGCAATAATTAATAGCCTACCAACCAAAAAAAGTCCAGGACCAGATGGATTCACAGCCGAATTCTATCAGAGGTACAAGGAGGAGCTGGTACCATTCCTTCTGAAACTATTCCAATCAATAGAAAAAGAGGGAATCCTCCCTAATTCATTTTACAAGGCCAACATCATCCTGATACCAAAACCTGGCAGAGACACAACAAAAAAAGAGAATTTTAGACCAATATCCCTGATGAACATCGATGCAAAAATCCTCAATAAAATACTGACAAACCGAATCCAGCAGCACATCAAAAAGCTTATCCACCATGATCAAGTGGGCTTCATCCCTGGGATGCAAGGCTGGTTCAACATACGCAAATCAATAAACATAATCCAGCATATAAACAGAACCAAAGACAAAAACCACGTGATTATCTCAATAGATGCAGAAAAGGCCTTTGACAAAATTCAACAGCCCTTCATGCTAAAAACTCTCAATAAATTCGGTATTGATGGAACGTATCTCAAAATAGTAAGAGCTATTTATGACAAACCCACAGCCAATATCATACTGAATGGGCAAAAACTGGAAGCATTCCCTTTGAAAACTGGCACAAGACAGGGATGCCCTCTCTCACCACTCCTATTCAACATAGTGTTGGAAGTTCTGGCTAGGGCAATCAGGCAAGAGAAAGAAATAAAAGGTATTCAGTTAGGAAAAGAAGTCAAATTGTCCCTGTTTGCAGATGACATGATTGTATATTTAGAAAACCCCATCATGTCAGCCCAAAATCTCCTTAAGCTGATAAGCAACTTCAGGAAAGTCTCAGGATACAAAATTAACGTGCAAAAATCACAAGCATTCTTATACACTAGTAACAGACAAACAGAGAGCCAAATCATGAATGAACTTCCATTCACAATTGCTTCAAAGAGAATAAAATACCTAGGAATCCAACTTACAAGGGATGTAAAGGACCTCTTCAAGGAGAACTACAAACCACTGCTCAGTGAAATAAAAGAGGACACAAAAGAATGGAAGAACATACCATGCTCACGGATAGGAAGAATCAATATCATGAAAATGGCCATACTGCCCAAGAATTTAAAGATTCAATGCCATCCCCATCAAGCTACCAATGACTTTCTTCACAGAATTGGAAAAAAACTGCTTTAAAGTTCATACGCAACCAAAAAAGACCCCGCATTGCCAAGACAATCCTAAGTCAAAAGAACAATGCTGGAGGCATCACACTACCTGACTTCAAACTATACTACAAGGCTACAGTAACCAAAACAGCATGGTACTGGTACCAAAACAGAGATATAGACCAATGGAACAGAACAGAGCCCTCAGAAATAATACCACACATCTACAGCCATCTGATCTTTGACAAACCTGAGAAAAACAAGAAATGGGGAAAGGATTCCCTATTTAATAAATGGTGCTGGGAAAATTGGCTAGCCATAAGCAGAAAGCTGAAACTGGATCATTTCCTTACTCCTTATATGAAAATTAATTCAAGATGGATTAGAGACTTAAATGTTAGACCTAATACCATAAAAACCCTAGAAGAAAACCTAGGTAATACCATTCAGGACATAGGCATGGGCAAGGACTGCATGTCTAAAACATCGAAAGCAACGGCAACAAAAGCCAAAATTGACAAATGGGATCTAATTAAACTAAAGAGCTTCTACACAGCAAAAGAAACTACCATCAGAGTGAACAGGCAACCTACAGAATGGGAGAAAATTTTTGCAATCTACTCATCTGACAAAGGGCTAATATCCAGAACCTACAAAGAACTCAAACAAATTTAGAAGAAAAAAGCAAACAATCCCATCGAAAAGTGGGCAAAGGATTTGAACAGACATTTCTCAAATGAAGACATTCATACAGCCAACAGACACATGCAAAAATGCTCGTCATCCCTGGCCATCAGAGAAATGCAAATCAAAACCAGAATGAGATACCATCTCACACCAGTTAGAATGGCAATCATTAAAAAGTCAGGAAAAAACAGGTGCTGGAGAGGATGTAGAGAAATAAGAACACTTTTACACTGTTGGTGGGATTATAAACTAGTTCAACCATTGTGGAAAACAGTATGGCGATTCCTCAAGGATCTAGAACTAGAAATACCATATGACCCAGCCATTGCATTACTGGGTATATACCCAAAGGATTATAAATCATGCTGCTATAAAGACACATGCACACGTATGTTTATTGTGGCACTATTCGCAATAGCAAAGACTTGGAATCAACCCAAATGTCCATCAGTGACAGACTGGATTAAGAAAATGTGGCACATATACACCATGGAATACTATGCAACCATAAAAAAGGATGAGTTTGTGTCCTTTGTAGGGACATGGGTGCAGCTGGAAACCATCATTCTCAGCAAACAGAAAATCAAACACTGCATGTTCTCACTCATAGGTAGGAATTGAACAATGAGATCACTTGGACATGGGAAGGGGAACATCACACACCGGGGCCTATTATGGGGCGGGGAGGGGGGAAGGCTGGCATTGGGAGTTACAACTGATGTAAATGACGAGTTGATGGGTGCTGATGACTTGATGGGTGCAGCACACCAACGTGGCACATGTATACATATGTAACAAACCTGCACATTGTGCACATGTACCCTAGAACTTAAAGTATATAAAAATAAATAAAATTTAAAAAAAGAAATAAGCTGCTATTACTGCTAACCAAAGATCTCCTCCAATGATTTATTAATTTTACACATGAACTAGGAGATATTGCATGAAAGTTTTTGTTAGGAAATCTTAATTAGTTAAAAAAAACCCTTACAGGATAAAAGGGGTGCCTTTGAGATAGAATTTTAGTGACATCTTCAGTTTCTGGTTACATGATATTGGTTAAGCTTCTGAAAAAAATCAAACAAATCCACAAACTTTCCTGATATGAATCCAATCTCATTAATTTTCCTTTTCATTTAATCAACAAATATCAGCCAGTCTGTATAAGCCCACTGGAAGGTCTCTTAATTCAGTAGTAGTCTTACCTCAGGTATGCTCCATACATGAAGAACAATCCCATCATTAGTCCATTTAAAATAAAGATTACACCAACATAAAAGCAAGCAGGATCTCCCAATCCTTTGAAAAGATACAGATAATCAGTGTTTAATGAATATATGACTCTAAAGCAACTGGGCATAATTATCTCAGTGCTTTGCAATCAAGAGCTCATGAATCTGCTGAAAGCATTTGCTTTCCAGATTGCTGCTGTGTTTAATTCTTTACCCTTACAAGAGTTTGTGTGTGTGTGTGTGTGTGTGTGCAGACACATATATATGTGTGTGTGTGTATATATATATACGCATACACATATGTAAGCTCACCCTTAATGAGGTATTATATAGTTACACTTACACTTTATACTTTTTATAATTGCATTTGTACTTTCCTCTAATGAATTACTATTATACTGTAATGATTTGTTGGGGATTCACATTTATTTAGCTGATGCTGCTAGTGTTCAGTGTCTGGAACTGTCTGTAGAACCACTTAATGAATACAAAAGAAAAACCATTGCATTATCTTTATCTTTTGCTAGGCTGTAGGAAGAGTTAAGATATGGTTTTGACTTCAGGGTACAGCTTTAGTCTATACGAAATGATCCAGTCATTTGATCCATCATTATGTACAGCTAGAATCTTAGTATATTCCATAGAGAAGATTGTGCATGTGTGTGGCAATATGTGCTTTACAATCATCCCACATTTTTCTCAGAACAAGTTTATGATATTAGCTGGTATAAAAATACTTTTCTTATGATTGAGAAAACAGAACATAAGATATTCAACTTGTCAAAGGTTATTTCACTTTAACTGGCTGTAGCCAAGTTCTGAAGGCTGGCCTTCTGATTCCCCCTGCCTCTCTGATCACTCCTTTCAGTCAGTTCCAGTAACTTCTCTTGTTTTATGTACCACTCTTTAATATTGGACCACCTTACGCTCTGTTATATGCCCCCTTCATTTCTCCATCTGCACATTCTCCATAAAGAAATTCTTCCACATCCATGGCTCCAATGATCTATATACAGATGACTCCAACTCTACATTTAATCCAGAACTTTCTCCTTATTCTCATACTCAGATAGCCACTTCATGTCCCCACTCTGAGGTGTCTTAAGTACCTCAAATTAATGCATACACAATGAAACATAACAAAACAAACCCACTGCTGTTCAAATGCTTCTTACCGTTCAAAGGAGCTCAGTTACTAAAGCTAGAAACCCAACTGTGTTTCACATGATTCTTCACTCACCTTCCCCTCCCTTACCAAACAATTACCAAGTCTCGTCCATGCTACTTCCAAAATCTCTCTCACACCCAGGCATTTCCACATTATCTTTCCTGCAGTCACTTGCTGAGAATAGAGGAAGTCTCCTACCTGGCCTCCCTGAACCTACTTTTGTCCCTTTTCTAATATTCTTTCCATACCATTGACTAAATAATGTTTTAAAATGAAAATCTGTTAAAATTCTTCAATGGATAAAGTAAAAAAACCTTCGCCAGTGCACGCCTTTCATGATCTGATCCTTCTTTATATTCCCAGCATCATTTCATATCATTTTTCTTCTCCATTGCTTCCAGGAATTCTAGCCTTCTTTCAGTTCTCTCTTGCTTCAGGATATTTGAATATGCTATTCCCTATTCTTAAAATAACTTCTCTTACTCCTAATGTCGGGAACCTTATTTTCTTATTTGTAATATCCACCACAGTTGTAACTGCTAAAAGCCCCCTTACAACATAAACTCGATGAGGGTAAGGCTCCACGCCTAGCTGGTTCATCTCTGTGTCCCAAGTGCCAAACACGAACCTATCACTTATCGGGAATGTAACTAATACCATACTTAGGTGACCATTTTCACCACTCAGACAGGGTCACACCTTCTAGCTGACTGAATCATTGCTAAGTCTCTCATTTTATGAGACATTTTCTCCAATCCTTTACATCGTACACAAAAAAGTATAATTGCCCCTCAAATATCCTCATCAATTCTATTTTTACTGAGGGAATCAGTAAAAAATATAAGGAAAATAGATTTAGTTTATATCCCAAGAGTTGAATGTTGTTACAAGTCTAAAAATTTATTCATAAAATATAGTAAGTCATGTTCTTAAGAATTTGAAGAAATAAAGAAAAAACAACAGTGTTAGTGTTATGAAAAGAGATATATGTGGCTCTGAACAACAGTCTCAAGGGATAGCACCGTACTTGAATTATAAAAGTGCTGAAATGTAAACATCTTAAATGGAAGTGACCACTATGTACCCTGGAAAGCTGTTAGATGATTCCAAAAGCAGTTCTTTGACAAAGAAACCAATGTAGAAGATAAATAGGAAGAGTTTTATTAATACTACTCATGGACTATGAGCATATATAAAAAAGTAATATTTCTAAATCAATCTATTATTGCATATCTGATTTTTAAATATGTATGAATAATTAAATTTATACATTAGCTATTACAAATAGATATTTGACTATTTAATCTATCCTCAAAATTTATATATTGAAGCTACCCCAAAAAATATCTTTCTGCATCTTCACATTCTGAAATAGAAGACTAACTTATAGTCAAGATTGCCTTACAATGGGATATGTTAATACTCAAATTCCAAAATTTGTACTCAAATTTGTAAGCACACAGCCTTCTCAGAAAACTACTTTAAAATGGAAAATACTCATTGAGGTGAGTCAGTTCTAATTTTTTTTTAAATCAACAACAGTATTTTACAATAATTCTTAAAAGTGAATCATAATATTATTAAATGTTTATGAATGTTTACAAATGACAGCATTTTTGGAAGAAACATGCCTTCACAGCTTTGAACTTCATTAAGAGGTTCTATTCTGGTGACATTCCAGCAGGTCTTAGTCTCTAGTCCAAATAAATTCATTATTCCCATGAATGTCCGATACCAGGAGGCTATGATTACCTTTAAAAAGATAAAAACAAAGAGATAATGGAGGAAAATACATTCTCTTCATAATAATCTTTCCAAAATACCATTTTGTGATGGTTGCCTTAAACATTATAAACTCTGACAAGTTTATTTAGATCATTTCACTTGGGAATCAGTCACTTCAAAATTATACATTATGCTTCTATATAGAAAAATATTACATATGTGGTAACCAATTCTGTAATATAATAATAGCAACTGTAAGTCAATATAAAAAAAAAAATTAAAACATGGTGATTAATAGAAAAATACAAAGATTTATAGAAACATTTCATAATTCATTTCATTTAGATCCTTGAATTTATTTTTTCATAACATATATAAAATATATTATAAAAACTGGAGCAGAATGTGCAGAATTTTAACCAAGCAGAAGATTTAATTGACCAGTTGTCTCCAATCTGCAAGCTATTTTTAAAAGTTCAAAGACAAAGGAAAAATAACACAAGAAAAAAATTTCCAACAGAATGTTCATGTCTCAGAGGTTTTTAAAAAATAACATTATACATTCTAGAAAACTAATGTGAGATCACTGGGGGGGAAGTCAACAAATAAAGATTTGAAAAGAGAAAGCAAGCACCTCTTAGAGCTAACCATTTTTAATATTTTGGTGATTGGCCAGGCGCAGTGGCTCACACCTGTAATCCCAGCACTTTGGGAGGCCAAGGTGGGTGGATCACGAGGTCAGGAGTTCGAGACCAGCCTGGCCAACATAGTGAAACTCCATCTCCACTAAAAATACAAAAATTAGCTGGGCATGGTGGCAGGTGCCTGTGATGCCAGCTACTCAGGAGGCTGAGGCGGAGAATCACTTGAAATCGGAAGGCAGAGATTGCAGTGAGCCAAGATCACACCACTGCACTCCAGCCTGGGTGACAAGACCGAAACCCCATCTCAAAAAAAAAAAAAAATGTTGGTGATTATCTTTCCAGTCTTCCCCCTAGGCATTTAAAACATGAAATTAGAGTTACTCAATACTACCTAATGAGATCATATTATCAATGTTAATGTAATATACATCACTAAACATCATAAACATCTTTCCACATCTCACAAGTGTAGATTTATTATGCAGCTTGATATAGTAGGAAAAGCATAGCTTTGATGTCAGAATTGAACTCAAATTCTGACTCTACAAGTTATAGTTTCTATGGTCTCAAGAAATCCTTCAACAGCTGTCAATCACTTCATCTCTCAAATGAGTTTAATAATAACTATTCTACAAGAGAAGTGAGATAAGAGCTCACATATACAGTCATATGTGTCCTAAGTATAGTGCTGGCATATAGTATGCAGTGAATGCTTTTACCTTTTTAAAACATTCTGTTCTAAACTTACATTTTTATTTGTAAATGAGAAATTTATCTCCTGTGAACACAGTAAGTATGAACATAAAATTCAACATTGCAGTACTACGTAGTGTTGGAGTAAATCTAGATCCTCTCAATTTTTTATCTCTGTGATGTGAAAAGACTGGGAACAAGTCCTGTTCTTCATAATGCTCTCAAGTTTTAAAAACAACTGAACTACATTATAATTACTTTTGACATTTTTCATAATGTCGAGAAGAAATTGAAAACTGTGCTTACTAATTATTAAATAAACATGTTGAATAATTTTTAAAAATGTTGTCACTGGGACCATACTGTTAGAAATTAATGGAACAAGAAATAGAGAACTTTACTATGTAATTAAAAGATTCAGGTATAACCAAAAAATTAAAAATACCAATTATCAAACACTGAGAGAAATGGGGCTAGTGTAATAAGTTAAACCCTCATTTTATATATACAGAGAAAGTCAACATTAACTGAAATTGAAGATACAGGAAATAGGTTTTTGCATTCGGGTTTTTGCATTTACATTAGAGTTATGAAGATAGCCATTAGAGTAAATAAAAACAGAAGAGTGCCTCCAAAGAGTAAGCAGGGATGCAGAGAAAGTCGGTGCAGAAATTTGTGGCTTTAATCTTAGGCAGATCTATATTATCCAATTGTTACTATTGCAAATTACATTAAAAACTTACAGAAATCAAAATCTGAGAAATTTTCCAAGTACCTGGAAATTAAGCAACACAATTTTATTTTATTTTGTTATTTTTGTGTGTGTGTGTTTCTAGAAGGTTTTTAAAAATTATTATTATTTTTAAGTTCCGGAGTACATGTGCAGGATGTGCAGGTTTGTTACATAGGTAAACGTGTGCCATGGTGGTTTGCTGCGCCTGTTGACCCATCATCTAAGTATTAAGCCCAGCATGCATTTGCTCTTTTCCCTGATGCTTTCCCCTGCCCTGCCCTTCCCCTGCAAGCCCCAGTGAGTGTTGTTCCCCTCCCTGTGTCCATAATAACACAATTTTAAACTGCTGATGGATCAAAGAAGAAATCACATGAGAAATTAGAAAATAATTTGAACTGAATGAAAATGAAAATACAATATATAAATATTTAAGTAATACAAATGTTTGCTATTGGGAAGATGGAGTGGATGTACCTTTCCTGATTACTCCCTTGAAGTACAACTGAAAACCCTTTGAGTTATATACAAATCAAACATAATAAGACTCTGAAAAGTAGAGAGAAGACAGACTTGAGACCCAAAGAACAACATGGTTATGAGTTCCATGGGCTCTCTCTGTGCCTCATTTTCTCAGATTTGGAGTTAAAGAGGCTGGCAATCCAGAAACGCCAATGGCCACTGCTATGGTTTGAATGTGTCCCATCCAAAATTCAGGTGTTGAAACTTAATGGCCAATGTGATAGTATTAAGAGATGGGACCTGTAAGAGGTGATTAGGCCATGAGGACTCCCCCCTCATGAGTGAGATTAAAGCTCTCTTGCTCTCCTACTGTCTGCCATGTGAGGACACAGGGTTCCTCTCCTTCAGAAGATGCAACATCAAGGCACCATCTTGGAAGCGGAGAGCAGCCCTCACCAGACACCAAATCTGCTGGCACCTTGATCTTGGACTTCCTTTGACTCCAGAATTCTTAGACTCCAGAACTGTGAGACATAAATTTCTATTCTTCATAAATTACCTAGTCTCAGATACTTTGTTCAAACAGCACAAAACAGACTGAGACAAATATACAAAAAGTACCAAAAAAGTCCAAAGACCAGAAAAGGGGCAGCCTAGAAATACAGAAAACCTTTAGATGATCATCTTTCTGCTCCAACTAATTGCCACAGGGAAAAAAAAAAAAAAAAAAAAAAAATGTGGTTCCACCCCTACCAAATAAACAAAGGTCAAATGGGAAAGCTAGACTTCTACCTTCTCTGGGCATTTTTTTTTTTTTTTAAGATGGAGTCTCACTCTTTTCACTCAGGCTGGAGTGCAGTGGTGCGATCTCAGCTCACTGCAACCTCTTCCTCCTGGGTTCAAGCTGATTCTCCTGCCTCAGCCTCCCAAGTAGCTGGGATTACAAGTGCCCGCCACCACACCTGGCTAATGTTTGTATCTTTAGTAGAGACAGGGTTTCACCATGTTGGCCAGGTTGGTCTGAAACTCCTGACTTCAGGTGATCCTGAAAGCAACAAGATAGTGCCTTCCCCCCTTTCCCCTTCCTTTGCTTGAGTGATGCCAGAGGTATCCAGTTAAAATAGCAGGTTTAAATAAAACCCAGTCTCATAATACTCAAAATGTCTAGGTTTCAAGTGAAAATCACTCATCAAGAACCAGAAAGGTCTCAAACTGAATGAGAAAATAAATGGATTCCAATACTGAGATGAAAGAAATATTAGCATTATCAAGGATTTTAAAGCAACAATAATAAATATACTCTAATGAGCATGCTTAAAACAAATGGAAAAATTGAAAAGCTTACCAGAGAAATAGAAAATCTCACAAAAAACCAGAAATCAATACTAAGAACAAAACCACACAGTTACATGGAAATTAAACAACCTGTTCCCGAATGACTTTTTGAGTCAACAAAGTAATTAAGGTGGAAATCAAGAAATTCTTTGAAACTAATGAAAATAAAGAGACAACATACCAGGATTGCTGGAACACAGCTAAAGCAGTGTTAAGAGGAAAGTTTACAGAGCTAAATGCCGACTTCAAAAAGTTAGAAAGATCTCAAATTAACAACCTAACATCACACCTAGAGGAACCAGAAAAATAAGAGCAAACCAAACCGAAATCTAGCAGAAGACAAGAAATAACCAAATCAGAGATGAACTGAATGAAATTGAGACATAAAACACCATACAAAAGATCAACAAAACCACAAATTGGTTCTTTGAAAGAACAAATTAAGTTTAATAGACCACTAGCTAGACTAATAAAGAGAAAGAGAGAGAAGACCCAAATAAACACAATCAGAAATGACAAAGGAGATATTACCATTGACCCTGTAGAAAAGCAAAAAACTCCGAGACACTATTATGAACAACTCTACGGACACAAACAGGAAAACCTAGAAGAAATGGCTAAATTCCTAGAAACACATAACCTCCAAAGATTGAACCAAAAAGAAATGAAAACCCAGAATAGACCAATAACAAGCTCCAAGACTGAATCACCAATGAAAAGCCTACCAGCCAGAAAAAGTCCTGGAACAGATGACTTTACAGCCAAATTCTACCAGACATATAAGGAGAGCAGATACCAATCATACTGAAACTATTCCAAAAAATTGAGGAGGGATTCCTCCCTTACTCATTCTATAAGGCCAGCATCATTCTGATGCCAAAATGTGGCAGAGCCACAGTGTAAAAAAGAAAACTTCAGGCCAACATCTCTGATGAATATAGATGCAAAATCCTCAACAAAAATACTAGCATACTGAATCCATCAGCACATCAAAAAGCTAATCCACCACGATCAAGTAGGCTTTATTCCTAGGATGCAAGGTTGGTTCAACATAGGCAAACCAATAAATATGATTGATCACATAAAAGAACTAAAAAAAAAAAAAAAAAAAAAAAACCCACATGATTATCTAAACAGATGCAGAAAAGACTTTTGATAAAATTCAACATCTTTTCATTTTAAAAACCTTCAACAAAGTAGGCAATGAAGGAACATACCTCAAAATTAGAAGAGCCATCTATGACAAACGCATAGCCAACACCATACTGAACAGGCAAAAGCTAGAAGCACTTGCCTTGAGAACTGGAACAACAAAAGGATATTCACTCTCCCCATTCCTATTCAACATAGTACTGGAGGTCCCAGCCAAAGCAATCAAGAGAAAGAAAGAAAATAAATCCATATAGGAAGACAGGAATTCACACTATCTTTTTTGTAAACAATATAATTTTATACCTAGAAAGCCACATAGTCTCTGACTAAAAGCTCCTAGATATGTCTTTTTAAAACTTCAGCAAACTTTCCGGATGTAATATCAAGGTACCAAAGTCAGTAGTATTTCTATGCACCAACAATGTCCAAGCTGGGAGCCAAATCAATAATGCAATCTCATTCACAATAGCCACAAAAAAGTAATAAAAAACTTATAAAAGAATACCTAGGAATACAGCTAACTAGAAAGGAGAAAAATCTCTGCAATGAGACTTACAAAACACTGCTGAAAGAAATCAGAGACAATAAAAACAAATGGAAAAACATTCCATGCTCATGGATAGGAAGACTCAATATCGTTAAAATGACCATACTACCAAAGCAATTTACAGATTCAATGCTATTCCTATCAAACTACCAATGACATTTTTTCACATAATTAGAAAAACTATTCTAAAACATATATGGATACTCCTTCAGCGTAAATAAGGTTACATAAATAAATAAAATAAAACATATATGAAACCAAAAAATAGTTCAAATAGCCAAAGCAATCCTAAGCAAAAAGGACAAAGTCAGAGGCATCATACTACCCAACTTCAAACTATATTTCAAGGCTACAATAATAACCAAAACAGCATGGTGCTAGCACAAAAACAGACACATAGACCAATGGAACAGAATAGAGAGCCCAGAAATACAGTCACACACCTAGAACCATCTGATTTTCAACAAACCTGACAAAACAAGTCAATAGGAAAAAGGACTTCTTATTCAACAAATGATGCTGGGATAATGATGCTAGCCATATGCAGAAGACTGAAACTTCATCCTTTCTTTTCCCCATACACAACAACCAATTCAAGATGAACTAAAGACTGAAATGTAAAACCTAAAACAATGAAAACCCTAGAAGAAAACATAGCAAATACCTTTCTGGACATAAACCCTGGCAAAAATTTCATGACGAAGATGCCAAAAGTGATTGCAACAAAACAAAGATTGACAAATGCAACCTAATTAAAGAGCTTCTGTATAGCAAAAGAAACTACCAAGAGAGTAAACAGACAACCTACAGAAAGGGAGAAAATATTTGCAAACTATTCATCTGACAAAGGTCTAATATCCAGAATCCATAAGGAACAAATCAAAAGTAAAAAACAACCCTATTAAAAAATAAGTACTCCGTGCCACTCCCAGTCACAGTCTCCCGCGCCTTGTTCAGCTCCAACATGGCAAAAATCTCCAGTCCTACAGAGACTGAGTGGTGCATTGAGTCCCTGATTGCTATTTTCCAGAAGTATGCTGGAAAGGATGGTTACAACTGCAGTCTCTCCAAGACGGAGTTCCTAAGCTTCATGAATACAGAGCTGGCTGCCTTCACAAAGAACCACAAGGACCCCAGTGTCCTTGACCACATGAAGAAACTGGATGTCAACAGTGATGGGCAGTTAGACGTCCCAGAATTTCTTAATCTGATTGGTGGCATAGCTGTAGCTTGCCATGACTCCTTCCTTAAGGCTGTCCCTTCCCAGAAGTGGACCTGAGGACCCCTTGGGCCTGGCCTTCAAACCCACCCCCTTTCTTTCCAGCCTTTCTGTCATCATCTCCTCCTCACAGCTCACACGTCCCCTGAGCCCAGCACACCCACCACATCATGCACGCCCCACCTGTGGATAGTAATAAACCAATGTCACTTTTTTAAAATATGAAAAAAAAAGTGGGTGAGGACATGAACACAAATTTCTCAAAATTAGACATTTATGTGGCCATCAATCATATGAAAAAGTGTTCAACATCACTAATCATTAGAGAAATGCAAATCAAAACCACACTAACCCAGCCAGGATGGCTATTATTAAAAAGTCAAAAAATAACAGATGCTGGTGAGGTTGTGGAGAAAAGAGGATGCTTATACACTGCTTGTGGGAATATAAACTAGCTCAAACACTGTGGAAAGCAGTTTGGAAATTTCTCAAAGAACTTAAAACTGAACTACCATTCAACCCAGCAATCCCATTCCTGGGTATATACCCAAAGGAATATAAATTAGCCTACCATAAAGACACATGCACATGTATGTTCACTGCAGCACTAGTCACAATAGCAAAGACATGGAATCAACCTAAATGCCATCAATAGTGGAATGGATAAAGAAAATGTGGTATATATATCCCATGAATATTACGCAGCCATTATAAAGAACAAGATAATGTCCTTTGCAGCAACATGGAAGGAGCTAGAGGCCAGTATGCTGACTGAATTAATGCAGGAACAGAAAACTAAATACTGCGTGTTCTCATTTATAAGCGGAGCTAAACACTGAGTACACACGGACACAAAGAAGGGAACAACAGACACTGGAGCCTACTTGAGGGTGAAGGGTGGGAGGAGGGTGAAGACTGAAAAACTGCCTATTGAGTACTACGCTTGTTACCTGGGTGACAAAATACTCCATACACCAAACCCCCACTGCATGCAATTCACCTATATAGCAAACCCACACACACATGTACCCCATGAACCTAAAACAGAAGTTGGAAGAAGAAAAAGTGTCAGCAGAAAAACAGAAGACATAAAGAAAAGTTAAAAGTTTCAGAACTCAGAAATAAAATAATCAAAATAAAAAACCTTAATGATGGTACAAGAGGAGAATGGCAGAGATAGAAGAAAATAACCAGTAAACTAGAAGAAAGAACAATAGAAATTACTCAATCTGAGCAAAAGAGAAAAAACAGATGCTAACAGAATAAAAACAAACAAACAAACAAACAAAAACAAAACAGCCCTAGGGACCTGTGGAACTTTAACAAAGGATCCTGTATTCATATCATTGGAGTCTTGGAAGGAGATGGGAAAGAGGCAGGGCTGAAAAAGAATTCAAGGAAATAATTACTGAGGCTGGTCCCGGTGGCTCACACCTGTAATCCCAGCAGTTTGGGTGGCCAGGGCAGGCAGATTGCTTGAGCCCAAGAGTTTCAGACCATCCTGAGCAACACAGTGAAACCCCATGTCTACAAAAAATTCAAAGAAATTAGCCAGGTATGGTGGTTGCCCATCTCAGAAGGCTGAGGAAGGCAGATCCCTTGACTCCAGGAGTCAGAGGTTGCAGTGAGCTGAGATTGCACCATTGCATTCCAGCCTGGGCGACAGAGTGAAATCCTGTCTCAAAATAAATAAATACATCAATAAATAAAAAAGAAATAATGACTGGACTTCACATATATGGCAAAAGATACAAACCTAAATATTCAAGGAGCTGAGCAAATCTCAAACAGAAAAAATCTAAACAAATACATACTAAAACACAACATACTTTAGAAAACACTTGAACTTTGAACATTATACTTTGATACACTTTTGAAGACTAAATTTTAAAAAATGAAAACAACAAGAGAGAAACAAAACCTTACCTAAAGGAGAAAAAGAATTCAACTAACAATGGATTTCTCATCAGAAACTATGGAGGGCCAGAACAAAATGGCACAACACTTGCCGTATGCTGAAAGAAAGGAACTATCAACTCAGAATCCTATGTCTAGCAAAAATATCCTTCAGTAATGAAAAGAAACTGCATTCTCTAAGAAAAACTAAAAAAAAAAAAAAAAAAATGCAGCCGGCAGAACTTTTAGAACAGACATCTATTCTAAAAGTGTAGCTAAAGAAAATTCCCTAAACTGAAATGAAATGCTAAAAGAAGGAATCTTGGAACATCAAAGAGGAAGAAATAAAAAACATGGATAAAATAAAACAGGCTTTCACTTTCTTCCTGAGTTTATAAAATTTGTGTAAAACTTGAGTTTAAAATAAGTTTGATGAGTAAAACATACAGTAAAATAACAGCAGCAACAGACTGTAATAAATTGCGTTAATATAATCGCTAGAACCACTTAAAAAAGCTTTGTAAAGCGATCTATTTAAAAAATAGATAAATCAAAATATAACTCTAAATAATGTTCAAATAAAATGTCCTGCCACAAGAAGGTTAAAAAAAAAAAAAAAAAAAAACAGAAATTGAAAACCAAGAATAGAAAGCACAAAATAAAATCGCAGACTTAAACTCTAGCATATTAATTACCATATTAAATATAAGTGGCCAACTGGTAAATATACCAATTAAGACATGCATTGACAGATTGGATTTAAAAATATTACCTGGCCGGGCGCCGTGGCTCAAGCCTGTAATCCCAGCACTTTGGGAGGCCGAGACGGGCGGATCACGAGGTCAGGAGATCCAGACCATCCTGGCTAACACAGTGAAACCCCGTCTCTACTAAAAAAAAATACAAAAAACTAGCCGGGCGAGGTGGCGGGCGCCTGTAGTCCCAGCTACTCTGGAGGCTGAGGCAGGAGAATGGCGTGAACCCGGGAGGCGGAGCTTGCAGTGAGCTGAGATCTGGCCACTGCACTCCAGCCTAGGTAACAGAGCGAGACTCCGTCTCAAAAAAAAAAAAAAAATTACCCAACTGTCTACAAGAAACTCATTACAAATGTAATAATAAAGTCAGGCTGAAAGTGAAAGGATGGAAAATGATGAATTTATCATACACACAGTAATGAAAAGAAAGCAGAAGTGACAATGCCATTATCAGAAAAAAGCACACTTCAGAGCAAACAAAATTATCAGAGAAGGAAGAAAAAGTCACCATTAAATTATTTTTTTTTTAATCCAGCAAGAAGACCCTGCAATCCTAAATGCATATGCACCAAACATAGAGCTACAAAATGTGTGAAGAAAAAGAGATAGACGTCAAAGGAGAAATGTACAAATACATAATTTTACTAGGAGACTTCAGAATCCCTCTGTCAAAAAACTAGAATTAGTATTTTCACCTAGTTCTCTTTGTTGATAGAATTTCTAGACAGAAATTCCCCCAAAATTGACAAAAGACCCTGTTTAAGAGAATGAAAAGACAAGCTACAGACTGGGAAAATATATTTGCAAGCCATATATATGAAAAATAATTAGCATCTATAATATGTAAAGAACATCCTAAGATCCAAAATTCATAAAACAAACAATTCAAATAGAAATGGAGCAAAATACATAGACACATTTCGCATACGGATGGCAAATAAGCACAAAAAGATGTACATCATCATTAGCCAATAGGCAAATGCAAATTAAAACCATAATGATATATCACTACGTATGTGTAAGAATGAGTAAAATAAAAAATAGTGACAATATCAAATGCAGGTGAGGATACAGATAAACCTAATTTTGGTTGTGCTTAGGTTGTATCCACTGACTACTGAGTGTGTAGCACAAGGAAGTTTGCATAGTTTCATTCATGCAACAAATATGATACTGAATCAACTCCATATTCCAGGAAGTAGGCACCTAGGATACAGCTAGGAAATACATAATGGGCACAGGAAAACAGTAGAAAACAAGGTCATTCGCTGAGAATGAAAGGGGGAGAGGAGGTTTGGGATAACTGGAGAGAGAAGATATGAAACAGGCATCAAGGGGTTAGCAAAAGTAAGGCTCAGGGACCAAATCAGGATCTGTGGCCTATTTTTGTACCAGTAATGTGAAAAGGACAGTGTTTGTTACCTTCCCCCCAGCAGTTTAAGATAAGAGAGTTTAAGACTCATAGCAGAGATAGGGAAGAGGTGGGTGGGTGGGTTTCATGCCTTTCTGTAAGTGGCTCCTGTTCTCCCAGGCTTCACGATGGAGGAAGATTTCTGAGCACTCTTGCTAATCTTTTGTCAGCACCTTATAAGATCTGTGTAAAAATGTCTGTAAACAATTGCAAATTCCCTTGCTAACCCATACTAGGCATTTACCAACTGACTGGTGAACAATTTGAGCTGAATTCTTTACCATTGTGTCTAGTGGCATGACCCGTGTAATTAAATGCTTGTTTCTGTTCTCCTTGCATGTGCTTTTTCTTTTTAATTTATTTTGGGTTATTTGATTGCCCTGTGTCCTCAGCTCCCTGACTGCTTCACGGACTGCTTCTGTAAATCTGAAGACGCTTTTGTTGTTGCTGCTGCTGACATTGTTGGAAGGCCACGAGCAATGTTCTTTTTGGCTTTCTACATCCAAGGGAAAGCTGACCCAACATGATTAAATCCAACTCTCCATTTTCTCTGTGTTCATACTTGGGAATCTGATTATAGCTGGAGAAACACAATTCTGTTGGCTGGTTTTGTTCTCAGTTCAACACCATCAACCTCAAATGAAGCCCTTGGTGCTGCCCAAGAAACTCACATTATATCCCTGGTCTGTTCATTCTCTTAGATAAGAGGTCAGCAAGCTTTTCCTATAGAGAGCCAGACGATAAGTATTTTAGGCTTTGTGAGATAGTCTCTGTCTCATACTCTTTAGTGTTTTTACATTTACCCCTAGGTTTGTATACGCAAGTTTGGTTTGTTTATTCATTCATATATTTGTTTGGTATTTATCCTTTTTGATGTTCTCTGAGTTTCTTGGATCTGTGGTTTGGTATCTGTCACTAATTTTGAAAAATTCTCTTTTTCAAATATTTATTCTTCCTCATCCTTTCCTCTCCCACTGGGATTCTAATTATGCATATATTAGAATATTTGATATGGTGTCACAGCTCTTAGATGCTCTATCGTTTCCTTCCTCCACGTTTTTTCTCTTTGCATTCCTATTGACCTATTTCTTCTGCTGTGCTGTGTCTGCTGATGAGTCCATCTAAGGCATTTTTTACTTCTTTTTTTTATTTCTAGCATTTCCCTTTGATTCTTATAGTGTCCAACTCTCTGCTAAAATTATCTATCTGATCTTGCATATCATCTGTCTTTTTCATTTGGGTATTTAAAATATTAATCATAGTTACTTAAATCTCCTGTCCAGTTGTTCCAGTATCTGTATCTTCTTTGGGTCTGGCTGCTCTATCTCTTCAGACTGTGCTTTTTCTTACCTTTAGGTATGCCTCAAAATTTTTGCTGAAAGTTAGACATATTGTATAAGACAGTAGGCACAGAGGTCAGTATTTTTATGCTTGAAAATAAGAACATCTTTCTTACTGTTAGGTTTTTATTGTAGGGATTTGTGTTAATCTAGTTAGGGTGGGCTGGATTTGAAGTTTGTAATTGCTATAGTTACCAAAGCTGGAGTTTGTTGCTGCTGTGGACACTAGCGATTTCAAATTCCTCTAATGGTACCTTGTTTTGAACTTGGTTTTGGGTTTTCCTTTATGCTGCTCCCTAGAAAGAAAATGCCTTGCAAAACTCACTTGGTCACATTCCACTGTGATTTTTACCAAAGGCTTGTTAATGTAATGGGGGAAGAGTGACAGGTTTTCTGATGTTCCAATTAAGCCTCAGTCTTAGGCAGGTACTGTGAATTTGGGACTTGGGGCTGTACCCTTCGTAAGTGTTCCCTCCTCAAGGAATATGACTGTTTTTTAACATTTAGGGTTTTTTTTTCCTGCCTGTTCTCTTTCACCAGCTTCACTGAATACCCACCAGTGTCCTCAGACAATGGGTTTGATACCGTTCTCCCTGCAGATAATGGCTTTCTTTTCCTTAGGAAAGATTTCACAACATGGGTGTGCGCAGAGTCTGAGCAATGATTGCTTTTCCTGTCCCCTAGCCAGCATCATAGGAAAGCTTTCTCTAAATACTTCCCCAGTCTTCCCTGAGAGAGCCTGCTCACCTTCACATTTCATGCCAGCTCACAATAAGCCTGTATGCTGTTCATTAAAAATTCCTGGTTTAATCTTTGTACCAGCTTATATGGCATTCAAAAGCATCTATCTCAGTCAAGCAGTCCCTATTCCAGAATGCTCAGTTCCTATTGCCTTCTGCAGGCACCTGTCCTTCTTGAAATTCTGCGTTGGTTGTCCTCTGACCTCAGTTTTCTGAAGGATTCAAGAAAAGGTGTTATCTTGCAGTTTGTCCAGCTATTTTCCTTGTTGTAGGAATGAGAGTGTCATCATTCCAGCTCTCTTTATCACCAAACTGACACCTGAAGCCTCCAGAAGCTAAATATATAAAGAATTAAGAGTTCTTTATATATTAGGTGTATTAACCCTTCATCTCCAAAGTATATTACAAATATTTTCTCCTGGCCGGGCATGGTGGCTCACGACTGTAATCCCAACACTTTGGGAGGCCGAGGCGGAAGGATCACCAGCCTGGCTTTGAGGCCAGGAGTTTGAGACCAGCCTAGCCAACATGGTGAAACCCCGTTTCTACTAAAAATACAAAAATTAGCCAGGCATGGTGGTGCGCATCTGTAATCCCAGCTATTCGGAGGCTGAGGCTGGAGAATTGCTTGAACCTGGGAGGCGGAGGCTGCAGGGAGCCAAAATCACGCCACTGCACTTCAACCTGGGCGATGAACTGAGACTGTCTCAAAACAAACAAAAAGAAACCAAACAAATATCTTCTCCCAGTTTGTCAACTGTCTTTCAATTTGTTTATTTTCTTTTTTAAATTCTGCCCGGTTTTGCCTTTCCCATAGACACCCCAATAAAAGTGATGCCTAGGCTTTACCCTCAATACCGCTTCTGCCTGACCAAACTGTATCTCTCCTGTGGCTCTGTGTGATGTGACTTGTCCTCTTCTCCATGGAAGTATTAATCATAAATTCTTCTTTTGGTGGCACTGATCTATCTGTGTCATCACTCAGTCAATCGCATAAATTAAGACCTAGGCACAGAACAACTCTATTTCTATTTCTATAAAATTCTAGAAAATGCAAACTAAACCATAATGACAAAAAGAATATTAGTGGTTTCCTAGAGATGGGATGTGGCCAAAGAGAGATGAAGGAAGGAGGGATTACCAAGGAGCACAGGGAAACTTTGGGATGAGGGATATGCTCATTGCCTTGACTGGTGATGGTTTTACAGGTGGGCCAAAACTAATTAAACTTTACACTTCATCTATATGACCAGCTATCATATGTCAATTATACCTCAATAAAGCTGTTTTTAAAACATTTAGGGTATATCTACTAGAAAATAAAACTGCTTTTAATTACAGACTATATCATCATGTGCATAGAAAAATCCAAAGGATTCTATAACAAAGCTACTAGAACCGCTGACTTCATCAAGATGCAGGTACAAAGTTAATATTCAAAATCAACTACATTTCTATACAAAAGCAACAAAAACTGGAATAATAAAAATTTTTAAATAATACAATTTATAATAAAAGAGTACTGGGAAAGACTGTTCATTGAAAAAATACAAAACATTGCTGAGACAAATTAAAAATAATCAACAAAATGGAGATCTACACCATGATCATGGATTAGAAAATTCAATATTGTTAAGATGTCAATTCTTCCCAAATACATGTACAAATCCAACATAATCCCAACCAAAATCCCAGCGGTTTTTTTTTTTGAGAAATTAATAAGCTGACCCTAACATTTAGATAGAAATGCAATTTTAAAAAGGAAAAACAAAGTTAGAGAACTATCTACTTTCAAGATTTATTTCAATCAAGACAGTAATCAAGACAGTGTGGTATTGGCATAATTATAGATCAAGAGAATAATAGAGTCCAGAAACAGATTCACACATAATGTGGTCAATCAATTTTCAACGAACATACCAAGACAGTTAATTCAACAGGGGAAAAGACAGTTACCACAATGAAGCATTTTTTGGCATTCTAAAAATGTTTTGTAATTCAATCGTGGTGATGGATACATAGCTTCATACCTTTGTCAAAACTCAGAGAATGGTACACTCACAATTGGCACATTTTATTACATGTAAGTCATACCTCAAAAAAGCTGATTTGGTGACAAAGATTTATATATGTCGTTGATAGAACAACAAATCCAAATGCTTATTAAACATGGAAATATATTTATCCCCATAAATAGTAAGGGAAGCACAAATTAAAACAAGCATATCACAGCCATCATAAGAGTAAAAATCACAGAGTCGGACAATTCAAAATCTAATAATGATATGAGAAAATTCTAGACAGCAGTGTGAACTGCTACATTTGCTTCAGAGAGCAATTTAGCAATATCTGGTAAAGCTGAAAACGTACACACTCTATAACAGCAATTCCACTTCTAGGTATATATCCTAGACAAAATACTGCACATATACGGAAGAAAACCATACAAAAGTATACATTTGAGATTACATTGCTTGTAATTGAAAAATTGGAAATAATATATTAAGATGGGGAAATACATAAACTTTAGAATTCATAAAATGGTTAAAATTAAAGAAATATATATATACAGAAAGTTCAAAAATATAATTTTGAAGAAAAAATCCTACAGTGACACATTCAGTATGAGATCATTTATGTGGACTTAAAGCACATAATAAAACAATCTCTGAAAACAGAAATTGGATGGTTACACACACCAAATTTTAATAAAGGTATAAGTTGGACTAGAAGCAGAACAAAGGTATTTATAATATTTTAATTATTTTAAAATAGCTGATGCAAAAATGACAAAGATCAGCATTTATTTATTTTAGATGGTTGCTCACACATATTTGAATATTATTTTCTAAGTCTCTGTAGTTTTAAGCATTTCAAAATCTAAAGAATAGTAATTTTTAAAAGCTATAAAAATATGAATAAAGGATTAGAAAGCAGAAACTTTTAATTAATATGCTGGATTCTGAGACAGCTTTAAACTCCACAGTAGTATTTACCATGGTGTCAAATTTAGCATTTATCTTGAGTTCACAAACTGAGTTCACTAATTTTGTCTCCGTTTTTCAAATTTCTAGCATTTGTAGACTACTATAACAACCATACTCTTTTAGGCTAAGTGTTGGAAGATAGTAATAGATTTCTGGCTGTGTGACTAAAGAAATCTTACCGTACTAACGTAACTCCAAGATCACTATTCAAGCTCATCACTCTCACTGTTCCTTCGCGTGGTCATCGTGCCCACCTATGAGGTGTCCAAAGCCAAAAGCCCATGCCCATTTAGAACCTTTTTGGCTCCCATGACTGTCTTTTTCATTTGGTTTGTCTATTACCCTGGCCATTATTTACACACTAAGGTTCATTCTTTGAGTTCATGCGAGAACAGTTTCTGGGGTCTTTAAATTTTACGAAGGAACTTACGACATTCTGCTCAACTGTAAGGATACACACAATTAATACACCTGAAAGCTCCCCTCCCTTTCTTAACAAGATTGTGCTATTTTTATCTGATAAAAAGGATCACTCTACAAATATTATTTGTCTCAAATGATGACTCACCTCTGGATAAAGATGGAAGCGTTTTACTGTATTAATTACAAGAGGATATTCAGTAAGCCTGTCATTCATAATCATCCACAGTCCTTCCAAAAATGAAGGTGCTTCAATAATGGTCTTGAAGTAGGAATAATAAAGTCCCTTTATAAAAAAAAAAAAAAGGCACATATTGTCAATGTAATTAAAACTTTAAAATATTTATTTTTATCACTTCTTTAGAATATTTTCTTTCTGAAAAAAAAGGTCAATAAGAAGACTTCCTAATTACTCCTCGCTATTTTGTATTCTTGGACTTTAAAAAGCACATATTTTCAGGTGATCACTGTACTATTCTTTCAAATTTTCTATAGGCTTTCAAACTAAAGAGTTGGAGGGATGGTCAAACGATTTAAAGAGTTTCTCTTAATAACGTCTTAAAAGGTGTAGACAGTGTATGTTTAATTTTCCCAAATCTGGTTTTATCCTCCACATTTGAGATGCTTGAAGGTTGACATCTGATTAATTCTATCATAAACAGGGATGCCTTCATGCCTCTGTACAACTTTGCATATAGAAAATTACTTCTTTTTTTCCCATGCTCTTAGGAAATAAAATATAATGACCATAAGCATCATGAGCAAGGAATCCAATGCTTCTGGCTTACTTCATAGCTCCATCTAATCCTCTGTACAAAGTGAAAGGTCAGTGTCCACTGACTATTGTTGCTCACAAATGCTATATACCAAAAAGCAGATTATTTTAGTGTCTTACACTTCAGCATATAAAGTCTTCATTAGGATAGTAAAAGTGCTGTTGAGTTAAAATTCATGGATTAACAACAGCATGTTGTGTCTTATTTCCCCATCAATTTCTTGCTTTCGCTCCTAAAATCTAAAAGCAAAAAACAGCCACATTGTTTAAAATGCACTCTCCCTAAAAAATGCTATATGCTATAATCACATCTGCCTCATCTAACACGAGTAACTACTAAATTAAAGGTCTGTTTTAGCTGATGTCTGAAAGGCCATTACCTTGTAGTTGATAGACAAAATATGAGTTCACAAAGAATTTTCCTTTTTGCTTAGGAGGATAACAAAGCAATACAATAATTAAAGGATACCTAATATGCAAAAGTCTTTAGGGAAATATTAAAAATATAAATAAGTTACTAATAACAGTTATTGTTTTGTGTTAAGTATTCTGCTATGTGTTGCCATTCATTATCCCCCTTCATTTTCCCTAAACCCCTCTAAGGTTGGCATTGTTTCTATTGAGCAGATGAGATTACTGAGAATCTGAGAGGTTACCTGACTAGCCATCATACAGTAAAGCACAGAACTGCTATTAGAATCCAGCAGTCTGTCACCAAAGTCCAGACTGCCACAGTTACACTCTTTATTTAATAATATTTTATGTTCTGTCTTTGGAAATGCCTTTAAAATGTTTAAATGTCATACATATGTTAATGTATCCAATGCTTTGAAACTTTATAGGGGCAATATAGGGATGAAAATAAAAAAGCAGTGACTGTGGGGCCTAGCATAGGCAAATTCATAGAGACAGAAAATAGAGTTGGGTGTGATTAGTGTTTAGTGGGTAGAGTTTCTGTTTGGGATAGCAAAAAGTTCTGGATGTGGACAGTGGTAATAACTGCAAGACAACATGAATGTATTTAATGTCACTGAGATGTACGCTGAAATTATAAATATTGAAATTTTTTATTACAAATTTAAATCTAAATTTTACCATAATTTAAACAAAAAGCAATGGCCAGAGTGAGGAGAGCCAGTTTCAATGCTTTACGAGGCCCCTGACCAGCTGTGAGCAGATCTGGAAGATGGACGGTTGTGGTGTCTTCCAAACATAAAATTGTGCAATTTTGGCATTGGCTATCCCACTTACTCCTCCCAATAATTATGTGAGATGTGTATGGCAGAAAACTCCATTTTAAAGATTAACTATCGAAAAACAAAATTATTTAAAAATTATATCAAAAGTTATCTCTTAAAAGAGATTATCTTGAAATCAAAAGAGAGGCAAATAATCATCATCACCATTAAAAGACCCAGGTGATACATGGGATCTCCCAACTGTAGCCAAAGACAAAGCAATTTCTGATAACATCTCATTTCATTCCCCTTTATCACTTCCTCAGTGCTTCCTTTGTCCTCCTTCCTCACCTATTATAACTCATCTTTATTATCTTAAAAAGAAGTCTGCATTAGGAAAGAGTGAGAGATAATGAAATAAGTAACAGAAAAATAATCTCAAACACTTTACTATTTAAATAATAAACCCGGGTTATAGCTTATGAAACAGTGTAGTTCACCAAAAGTTCGTTTCAATGCCTAATACATTTCTACCTCATAGTCTCGCTATTCTTAAACCACAAATTAATTCGTTAGAAGAAGAAACCTAACCATTTCAGTGCGAAAACTCATCTCCCGTTCCAAAGATGAGAGGTGAGAGAAATGACGATCATTTTCAAAAAGTGTTACTAAATGTAACCTAGAAAAAAATGAAGTATCATATTACAATAGAACAAGTTTCAAAACCAACATTAAAATAAGTGATAAGAAAGCCATAAAAAACAAAAAATTGTTATAATATTATTTTTATAATTTGCATGTTTTTAGGCATTTATAATCCAGTATGGCACACACCTGAAATTCCTTAACTCAGTGGTTTTTAAACTTAATTGTGGCCGGGTGCGTCAGCTCATGCCTGTAATCCCAGCACTTTCAGAGCCCGAGGCAGGCAGATCACTTGAGGTGAGGAGTTCGACACCAGCCTGGCCAACATGGTGAAACCCTGTCTCTACCAAAATACAAAAATTAGCCAGCCATGGTAGTGTATGTCTGTAATCCTGGCTGCTAGGGAGGCTGAGGCAGGAGAATTGCTTGAACCCAGGGGGCAGAGGTTGCAGTGAGCAGAGATCATGCCACTGCACTCCAGCCTGGGCGACAGAGTGAGACTCTGTCTCAAAAAAAAAAAAAAAAAAAAAAAAAACACAATTGTATAACTAAAATTCTTGTAGTTTTTTTCACCCTTCCTTGCATCCCAGGCCTCTAAATAAGAACAGAGGCAGGTTATTGTTTGTTTTTTAAGTTTCAAGTGATTCTAATATACCAGCCTTGGGAAATACCTCTATAAGTGTTGAAAAGGGTTCAGAATATAATTTTGAATAAAATTACTTTAAATCAAAGCAGACTTACAATAAGTATAATATCACATAAGGGATCAACTTTCAAGTGCCAAAGAATGCAGGTGTGTGCTTGAAGACATTTTTAGTAGTGAAACTCAACAGCTGTAGGCAGTGAAGAAAGGAGCATATGTGATAAACAAAATTAGCTGCAGTCAATAATCATGCTACAGCTAACTTATGTAGTCATGAGTTTCCAGTGAAGTTGAAAATAAAGCAAAGTTCCATATATTAACCCTGTTTTCCACTAACCCTTCTTTACATGTAGGACATATGCCAGGGTACCAAAAACTGCAGGAATATTCCCTACCATTGCAGCCTCAGTTCTAACATCAAAATCTCCCTGCAGACTAAATGTCTAGAGCAGCACTGTGTCTACAGAACATAGGGGCAAATCTCATACCTCCCAAGGGTAGAAATCGCTGAGCACAGGTAAAAATAAAATATTACAGAGGGAAATATTATTTTACAAATTTTTATAAACACTTTTGTAAAATAATATACACAGGCTTGCACACTGAAAGACTCAAAGCCATTTAACTCTGTATAACCACTGCCGAACCTTTATCTTCTTTTTTACCTGATTTCCAATTGGCAGGTGTTTACTAAACTTTATCACCAAAGTTATTTCACTGACTGGGTGGGCTGGCTCATGCCTGTAATCCCAATACTTTGGGAGGCCGAGGCAGGTAGATCATTTGAGGCCAGGAGTTTGACACCAGCCTGGCCAACATGGTGAAACCTCGTCTCCACTAAAAATACAACAAATTGGCTGGGTGTGGTGGTGCACACCTGTAATCCCAGCTATTTGAAAGGCTGAGGCACGAGAATCACTTGAGCCTGGGAGGCAGAGGTTGCAGTGAGTCAAGATCGCGCCACTGCACGCCAGTGTGGGAGACAGAGCAAGACTCTGTCTCAAAAAAAAAAAAAGTGATTTCACTAGCAACATATAATTACCATAAAACAAAGGAGGGTTTTAAATGAACTACACATGCAAAATACACTAGAAAAGCTAGATATTTAAAGAAACGTGGTGAATTATTTGGTAAAGCAAAAATATTTTAATTCATAAGTTACTATTCCCCTAATGCATCTATTTTGTAAATGCTGTTTCACACATTAGGTTTGTAAAAAAGCAAAATATATGTATAAATTGGCGCACATAAAGACGTTCTACAAATATAGCCAGAAGTTATTGTTTACTGTACACAAACAGTGATGACAATTTTTAATTCAAATGTTTTTAAAAATTTCAAACTGAAACTAAATCTTACCAATGTAAAATTGCCACAAAGACAGCTGGAAAAAAGAAAAAAAGGAAAGTTATTAAAAGCTGCTTTAATTATAAAATATCGTTAAAACAAGTATTTCAAATGTATTATTTTACATGTCTAGAAAGATAGCACACAAAGCAAGATGGCCAGCTAATCCTGTCTCTATGAGCGTAGGAAAAATCCAGGACACAAAGTAAATTCTGAACAGAGCTTACCTGTCTGCAGCGGGGCTTGACAAGCAAAGGGAGAGACTTGAGAGAGTTTTTTTACTTCAGGTAATTGGTAAGAGTGATGGAATTATGGAAGATTGTGACCTTTTTTGTTTTGTTTTGTCAGTATTATTTTCTATTCCTTTATATGAAAATTTTAAAATAAGTAAATATATACAGTATGCTTCACTAGTTCTAACCAGGAGGAGCCACTCTAGATCAGTTTCCCTAGCATTCATCAGAAGACGATTAAATATAGGCAATCACTTCCTCAGCAGCACATCTAAAAGCCTCATTGTGCAACTCAACCCTTGATGAACTGCAAGATCTCTGCAAGCGCCCAGACCTAGGAGCTACTAGATGGCCTAGGAGACTAATCTGGAGTCACCTGTGCCAGCGCCCCATGTATACATAAGACTTCACCAGGGAGCTGGGAGACACTGCTCTTGGGTATGGAGCTTTTACAGGAGCTGCAAACGCAGCCTGTGCCCGCTTGGTTGGGGAATTGCTTGTTTTCAAGGATACCATGGAGCTGGAGAGAGAAGAGTGGGGAATAGGACAAGTTAAAACACCACAAACTTTGCTGTTCTTATAGAGAGGTTCAGCAGCTTTTCTTGAATTAATGCCCTTCAGATTGTTGTAAACCTTTGCTTAATTTCCAAAGTTTTGAAGAAAATGATTTTGAAAATTTTCCAAGTATTTTCATTGTCATCATAGAGGAGTGCATTTCCTTGGCTATTCCAGAAGTCCTACGTCCCTTCTGAGATTTTATAATGGTATTTCTTATGGTTATCCCAAATATACTTGGCAGGTCATCTTATAACCACCAATAATAGCCTCTTAAAAATTCAAAAATTACTCCACTTGGCTAACAAAATAAATGCAAATTAATTCAATAATTATTGAAGAAATTAAATTTTAAAAAACTAAAAAATTGCAATGTTGAAATTCTCAACCATGTTTATCCAGATCTTTTCCTATATTACTAACTGTCCTGGGCTTATCTTAAATACTTCTCAGATTTACTTGTTTTATATCAGGATAGGCAAAGTATGGCCCATGGTGTATTTTTGGACTGTCTGCAAGTGGGGTTGCTATAATTTTTAAAAGATTGAAAATTTTAAATGGTTGTAAAGATGCTCATTAACTGTTTATTAGGCTTCATTGATTTTAAAATACACAGAGACTATCCTATTCAACTATATTTGTATCCTATTTCTAATTCTCCTAACAACTATATACACTGGCAAAAACTCTTCGGATGATATATAAGGAAAAGGTCAAATATACTACCAAATTCATCCAGCTTTCCAAAGATGCTCAAAATCTTTCTGTGTCTCTCACTCCCTCCCTTAACCCACATACCACATCTGAAAAAAAAAAAAAGGATACGGTGTAGTGATGCTAGCATTCTAAATGCTTGAAGGGCTTATCGCATGCCCTTTCCAAGCTGTGACAGAAGCATGTCCCCTGGACCCGGGCATCCTATCAATCTCACCTCTGAAGGTGACTCAGCCTTATACTTCACTGAACAGACCATTAGACGCCAGCACTCCCAACTTCTTTTATCTCCACTTTAACATTTCTCCGTATAGTAATCCGCGCTTTTCTACTCCCTGCCATCTCAGAAAAGGAATTCTCTCTCCTCTTTTCCACAGTTAGCTTCTCAGATTTGTGCCTTTAATTCTACCCTCCCAAATATTCAAGCCTTGCTCCACTAATTATTTCCTCTCTTGGAATCTTAATCTCATCCTCTTTCCTTAATCCTTCCCTCTAGGAGTCTTTAAAACTCCTAGACCTGGCCGGGCGCGGTGGCTCAACCCTGTAATCTCAGCACTTTGGGAGGCCGAGACGGGCGGATCACGAGGTCAGGAGATCCAGACCATCCTAGCTAACACGGTGAAACCCCGTCTCTACTAAAAAATACAAAAAGCTAGCCGGGCGAGGTAGCGGGCGCCTGTAGTCCCAGCTACTCGGGAGGCTGAGGCAGGAGAATGGCGTAAACCCGGGAGGCGGAGCTTGCAGTGAGCTGAGATCCGGCCACTGCACTCCAGCCTGGGCAACAGAGCAAGACTCCGTCTCCAAAATAAATAAATAAATAAATAAATAAATAAATAAATAAATAAAACTCCTAGACCTTAAAACACTCTGCGATCTGACAGCCCTTCAAACCAATATACTCCACATCTCTCTCTCTCCCCTTGTTCAATGACAAGATCTTTGACCAACTCCTTTCTACTCGGATCTTGCTATTATTTACTACTAGGCACCCACAAACCCTTGCTTGTTAAACTGATCTCCTTCAAGACTCAAGAAAAGCGCCATGCGGCTCCCTCTAGGGCTCTCCTGCCTTCTCCTCACCGATGCCGAGAGTGGTCCTGCTGGAGAACCAAGGAGCCTGCAGTTTGTGCACCTTTTCCCGGAGCTGCGCCAGGAAGTTACGGAGGAACTGGAAGGGGCCGAGAAGAAGGCTCTTGGCCATCACCTCCAACTGCAAGCCTTTTCGCGCTTTCAGATTTCGGATCCTCCGCGGGGAGGACCTCCTGGCGCCCCTTGGCAGGTTCCCGCCGCATAGCGCCGACCTTCCCACCTCCTCCTCCACCTCCGGCTCCCGGGCGGGGGAGGCCCTGCGCCGCCGCTTAGGCTGGCTGGGGCGGGAAGATTGTAGCGGCTTTGAGCTTACTCCTTGTTTTCTCATAATCCCTGGTGGAGCTGGGTCAATTTCAGGCACAGCCCAGGCGAGTCGGGCGAGGTTCAGAAAGGCCTGACTAGCCTGGCAGCCTCAACGGACTTGTCCCCGCAGCCGTTGCCGACCTCCCGGTCGTCATGGCGACTGTGAAATGTGGGGTGGGGCGCGTGCGGTCGAAGCCATTCGCGCGGGCAGTCCCTGTGTGTCCGCCCACGTGCTCCCCAGCGCGCGCAGCACCCCCGCCTCCGCGCTTCCCCGAACGTGCGCTTCCGGTGAGAGCAGCCCCACGCACAGCCCACCACACCCTCTCCAGCGCCTGCAGCCCCCAGTGCGCCCAGTACCCAAGCCCGCACGTGCAGTCGCCGCCTTGCGCGCAGCTCCACGTACAGCTCCCCACAGGCTGCCAGACCCCCGGCGCAGAAGCCATCACTGCTCGCCTTTCACGCGCTTCACTGGGAGTACAGCCCCCGCCCCCCACCCCGAGCGTGCAGCTCCACGCAGCCTCTCCACACTCCCCAGCGCCCGCAGCACCCCGTGTGCGCACAGCTCTGCTAGTCGCTTCCCCGCGCGCCGCCCCTGCACCGCTTCGGGCCATAACCTTGCTGGCGACTAAGTCTGAAGAACTTCCCGTGGCTTCATTCCTTCGGGTTTAGTCTTAGCTTTGACATTTTAACCAAAAGGTTACACGTTAATTAACGAAGTATTAAAGGGGAAGATCTCAGCTGCAAGAAATGACTGTAGGAAGTGTGTCAGGAAAGCCAGCGGACCCCCTCGTGGTGCACCCGGCATTAGGAACGTCTCTGCTCTCCTACGATCGCGGGGTATCGGACAGTCAGTGCCTGTTGCCAACGCGGAGGGAGCGGGCCGAGACTGCGGACAACACGTGGCAGAGCCGGCCTGAGTCCGGTGGGTCTGACCCCAGAGCCTCAGGTTGACGCCAGTTCCTTGGCACGGGACAGCGTTTACTGAATCTTAAAGCAAAATGCTTTTCCAGTAAGGTTCCGAGAGGTCGTCAGCCCTAGGAGCGGTGTGCTCAAGCACTTTCAGCACCAGCCAGGACCAACTAAGAGGGGAGCGCTTAGCTCCCAGTCACCGCGCAGCCCTACAGGAGGCCAAAGCGGCTGGCACAGATGCACTGGGACCGCTGACATTTTCCGTGTCATCGGTCACGGCCCCATGCTGGAACCCACACCGCTTCACTTCCCATCTGTTTGATGATGGATCGAATTGAACTCCCATATCCTAACTGACCCGTCTAAATCATGGCTCATCGTGGTCAGGTTAATTTTCCTGATGCAACACAGCACAAAAATGTTCATGGCTCCCCATAGCACACAAATCAAGTCCTAGGCTTGCTCACCAATGCCTTCAATAATTGCCCAATATACATTTTCAACTTTAATTTCCCACTTTCTCGGGCACAAATCTTCCATCCCAGTCATTTCAGGTGAGGTCCACAGCTTGAGACTCCATAACTGCTGAATTCCTTTACTCACATGGAAAAGTCACCCCTTGGCTTTTACATCCTCTTCTCCCCGCCCATCTGAATGCTATCACCTTCCAAGCCCCAGCCCTTTTCTCCAGCCCATATTAATTATGCTTTTTCTGAAGGTCTAGAGCACTTAACTGACAGTACTATTTATCTTGTCACTCATTTAAATTCAGTAAGTGCTATTACTGTTCATATTTTGTTTTGGGAGATTTTTTCAAGGAGCATTTCTACATTCCTGGCATTGTGTTTGGTGCTCAAAATGTTTTCTCACTTAATTCATGCAATAACTATATGCAAATTTTAAAATCAAGCATCAGGGATGTAGTTATTTGCCCAAGTTTTAACAGCTAATAAAGTGGAGTGATTGTTTTTCTTTTTGGTCAGTTTGTTTTTTCTGGAGTTTCCAATTGCCTTTTGCATCTCTTGGTGTCCTGGTGGGATACAAAATGCTCTTACCCGTGGTCTAGCCCTTGAAAGTACAAATCTGGTCATTTTTATCATTTAAAAAATTAATCTTTTTATAAGAGTGTTCATTGTGCTATTATTTATATCGTTGAAAAAATAGAAATGGCCTCAATGACAAACACTCAGTTATGAAACATTCATATAGTGAAGCATTACAGCCACTAAAGTCATTTTGCATGGATATTTAATGATATAGGAAAATAGTCATGATATAGTGTTAAAGGAAAAAAGAAGTAGGATATATTTTATGATTCATATGTTTAGTAAACACATAAAATTAACTGTGTGCCACGTGCTGCTCTAAATCTTTTACACAGGGGACTCATATAGGAAGATTACCAATTTATGACCTTAAGCTAGTAATTTAGCCACTCTGGGATTAATTTCCTCATCTGAAAAATGAAGAAGGTTATATTTGTCTTCCTGAAGGTATGATCGAATGAATTAATGCTTGTAAAGCATCAAAAACACAGCACATGCTTAAACAAATGTTCCTTTATTATGTTCTAGACTGGCCATCCTATAGTGCACTAGTGAGTATTTTTAGGTTGGTGCAAAAGTAATTGCTATTTTTGACAATACTTCCAATTAATATTTTGCTCACTTGGTTTCTTTGTCACCAAGTGATACGTTGGTAATTATTGAACAGTAATACATGTTTTAGGTTCATTAGTTAACTGAGAGATAGTTGCCTAAATAATTACATATGTACTCCTACTAAGGAGAGGAGTAGATTTGTGTATAAGAGGGAAATCCTGACACTTAGTTTTATGTGCGGTTAAATAGAATCATGGATGTTTTCATCTTTTTACACCCTCTCTAACGGTGGTCACTTATTTTGACCTCATTATTTTGAATGGTTATTTGAGTCACATTTTAGCTGTATACTAACTAATGACAATAATTTAAAGCAGTTAGCCTGATACTTTAATCTCTGATGAACTGACAAAATAGCACATTCTAATTAGGTATGATGCAATATGTTCTTGCATTATCTTATCATCTTTGAAACAGAGATGCCTCATGATTTAGCTTTTTGTTGTTGTTGTTGTTCTCAAGATAGGGTCTCACTCTGTCACACAGGCTAAAGTGTAATGGTGTTCACTGCAACCTTGAACTCCCGGGCTTAAGAGATCCTCCTGCCTCAGCCTCCTGAAGAGCTTGGATTACAGGTGCAGGCCACCACACACAGCTAATTTGTTTATTTTTGCAGAGATGGGGTATCAGTATGTTGCCCAGGATGGTCTAAAACTCCTAGCCTCAAGCACTTCTGCCACATCTGCCTCTCAAATATTGGGATTACAGGCATGAGCCACTGCACCTGGCTGCAAATTATTTGTCTTACATAGAGATCTCTAATCCAGTTATGGATATCTAAAACTTGCTTCAGTTTTTCCTTTGTCTTTTAGTAAAGCAATTGGGGGAAAAATGCAGTTAAACTATGAAAACAGCAGATGGCAATAATGATCTGTAAATCAAAATTTCAAAACTTTCACTTATTAAATTCATTCTTTAAAAAAATCACTGTTCTTATAATAAATCCACTTACTAAATATGAAATGTAGGAAAATTCCAAATGTAACCCCACATAAAAATTACATTGCACATTTCATATATCAAAATAATTAAGATATTCATCATGGTCAAGATTTAGTTTTCCAAATAATAATGACTTCGTTTTAATTGATTCAGATAATTTATTAGATTTAAAGTTTTAGCTTTGCACAAATACATAGATATAAATTTAAGTGGATAGTTAAGTTCCATCTCTAGCCTCCAGGCTAGATAGAGATAGTTCAGTGAAGACCATTTTGAAAACATTACAAACGTTTCCACTTATAATTTGGTAATTTAAAATATGAATTTCACTTTAATTGAAACTTTCCGCATAAAAGATTGGTTTTTACTTGTGCTGTCTCATAATTTCTTGTGCATTAAGATACTTTTCCCCCTTTGTACAGTACAAGGAGTTGGAATTGGCACCAAAGTATTAGTCTCTAGTTTATCAGCATTAGTTATTCCCAAAGATGGTGGCAAAATTCTTGGGATCTCATAGTTTATTTTATTGGTAATTTTATTTATTTTCATTATCCAGCTCTAAGACTTTTTCTACAAATTCAAACATGAAATACATCCTTTGTTTAATTTTGTAACTCCATTTTTGTCTTCAAAAAACGGGATAGCCATAGGTATGTTCTTCTTGGAGCCTACTTATTTTCTAAGTAATTTCAAATTGGTCTGTTTATAAATGTTAAAAGATCCTTTCAAATTCTTCTTCAGCAAGTTGCCTCCACTAAAAAAAGTGTCTTTGGACATGTGTATTTTATAAAACCACTGCTTCAATCTAAAACTTTTCTTGGATTTACATATCTTGGATTGACTCATGTCTAAGTAGCATATTTGCTGCTGTTGAATTACTTTACAGAGCCTCTTTAAATTCATATTGCATGCAGGTGCTTCATCAAGGAGACAGTGAAAAGACACCAACTTGCTGTGTCAATCAGAAAAGGCCACAAGCCTGAGTCTGAGAGAAAAAAGGTAAAACAAAAATACATTTAACAGGAAATAAAGTGATTCTACTCTTCTAGAATTGTCTTAGGTGAGCTACAGACCTGCTGCTAACTCCAATTTTTTCATCATCATTTGAACATACCTCATCTTATATGCAGATCGACTAGTGTTCCCTGAAGCTTTCCAATTGCATTTAATTGAAGGGAAACGGCTGTAACTGTTTAGGTGCCAATCTCTGTGTTTTTGGAAACATGAAAAACCCATGTGTCATTTCTCTGCAATTGCATTTTAAGAATACATTATCCACAACAGGGCTGGTCCAGTTAACATTTTAAAAGCGCAATTCCAGGCTTACAGAATGTTAAAGTGGATGGAGTCTTATATCATCTGGTCTCATGGTTTTCAGATTGCTCAGAGACTCCAAAGCTGTTCCAAGGAGGTGATTCAATATTAATATTCTTACACGGCCAGGCATGGTGGCTCATGCCTGTAATCCCAGCACTTAGGGAGGCCGAGGAGGGTGGATCACCTGAGGTCAGGAGTTCGAGATCAGCCTGGCCAACATGGTGAAACCCCGTCTCTACTAAAAATACAAAAATTAGCTGGGTGTGGTGGCGGGCTATTTGGGAGGCTGAGGCAGGAGAATCACTTAAACCCAGGAGGAGAAGGTTGCAGTGAGCTGAGATCGCACCATTGAACTCTAGCCTGGGCAACAAGTGGGAAACTCTACCTGAAAAAAAAAATTCTTACACACAACAATAGCATAGAAATTA